GTGGGCAAGGCGCATGCTGCGGCGTGGGGCGTGGCTGAGAGTGTGTGTGTGTGCAAATGAAGCTGCTTGTAAAGGTCAAAGTTAGAGAAGAAGACAGCGAGATCGACAACAGAAGCAACAACGGAAGAGAAAATAACAGCAACAGCAACAGCAACAGCAACAACTACAGCAGCAACATCTACCTTCACAACAACAACTATCAAATTTTTGCAGTGACCACCAACAATTGCTGTTGTAAGAACAACATTTGAACAGCAATTGAAATGCATTGCGTAAATTTTAACAAATATTTTGCTTACATTCGATATGTATTTGCTTTTCATACTGATAGATTCTGACAACTAAAGCCCAATATGTGAGAAATGTTATTCGAATTGAAGCATTTATTTTGTTCCATGTGCAATTGTTGCTGGTTGCCAGGTAAGCCCTAACAGCAGCAGCAATATCAACAGCAACAGACATAACAAACACAATAGCTTCTGTCAAAGCAGTTTAAAGGCTTAAGCGGGCGCTTTCGTTGCAACATTTGACAAATGCAAAATAAGCCGATTTTTCTATACACTAGAAAAAAAGGAATGAACTGAATATGTGATGACAGATGTGGGGTGTGTAATTTAAAGTGTCTGCCAAGAGCAGAGTGAGCTCTCTGATGGAGTTTTGTTTATATAGAAAGACGAGCGAAAAACTTAAGCATTTGTTTGATATATTAAGTTTTATTAAACTATTTATTTTTAATTTCATAAATGAACTAATTTAAAATTAAAATAAAGTTAAAAATATAATAATACAAATTAAATCTAACGCTATTTTATATAATTTTAATATAAAGAATTTGTTAATAAGCAATTATTTGATTGAGAACTCTAATTTTTTCTACGCGCTCACCAACTAAAAAGAGTATATCGGTTCTATGCATTGTCTGTTTGTTGCTTTGGTAATTTGTGTTTTGATGAACAGAAATTCTTTACTCTAAGTGCTAATCCTCGTATAAATATATAAAGTGTATTTATCTACGCCAATAAATGGCGTACTAAATCTGAAAAATACTATATCTGAAAAGATGTTGTGTCTCGAATTTAGTTACTCCATCCTAACATTTACAAAAAATGAGAAACCATTTAATGGTTTTATGGTCAATGAACAACTATAAACTATAAACAACTATAAACGACTGCAATATAATTTCTTATTCTATATATATATTTTCATTAAAAATCATAATTAATGCCAATGCTTTCTTCTCCCATATATTCAGTTATAAAATATAAAATGAACTTCTTACTCCTTGCTCTACATTAGAGTATTTGCCATTCGTCAAAGATTTTCTTTGCTTTTATTCGCTAAATCTCAATGTTACATATTTTATTTCGTTCTAAATGAATGCAACTAAACTCTATGACTTTTAAAAATATTTTCATTTATATAAAACGGAATTTTAAAAATTTACTCTAAGCTGCCAACAGAAAAAATTGAATTTGAAATTGAAATGCTAAAAAAAAAACAAAGCAGAATAATATTAAATCAATTTGATGAGCTATGCTATTTACATTATTTTTTAGCGCACAAAGATTCTCTCAGCTTGTTAATTAATTAATTTTTTTAATTGTTACACAAATTGCAATTTGCTGCGCTTTGAAATTAACTAAAAAATCTGTATAAAATCAGTGGGGAATATTACGTATACGGACGGGTTAACCGCACTTGAAGCGTTAATGAACAGAAACTGTATGAAATGCAAGCAATTAAAGTAACTACAGTAATTAAATAATGTGTGATAGACCAAAAAATACCCCGTAGGTAAATACTTGTTACACATTGTGGCAAATGGAAAACGTTTCAGTTGGCCTGCTTTGCTGCATGCTATAAATCTACTGCCAACTCTAGCTACCTCAGTTTGTGAGTCGTTCTAGGGCATGCTGAATGTTAAAAAATGCTTTACCAACTTTGCAATTAAGTGCAACAGCAACAACAGCAAGGACCGCAACGAGAGCAACATGCAAATAATGCATTATGTAAACATTCGAGCAACATTTTACGAGTGGCTGCTGCTGCTGCTGCAGGGGGCGAAGCCGGGCAGGAAACAATAGCGCCACGGCGTCATCCGCAGACATATGTAAATAACTGTGTCACTCTTCACGTGCAGAGGGAGAGAGAGAGAGGGAGGTGGACAGGTAGGTCGGGTAAGTTGTCAACTCGAATGGCTCAGCGCCAATTTTCACCTGTCGCAAAAGGCGGCACGCTTTTTGTTGCTCTGCTTCTTCTACCGCTGCTCAAAGAGCAACACACACACACACGCACATTTTACTACTGTTGTTGTTGTTGCAGCTGTTTTTTTTTCATTCTATATCCAGACAGCTGCTGCTGTTGTTGCTGTCTCTTTATTTTGCTATTTACAATATTTTTCGAGCGCTTTTTTTCATTCGTTTTTCCGCTTCAAGTTGATTTTTTTCTGTTGTTCTTTTCAACAGTAATTATATGATAATTATGAATGTATTTTCGCACGTATTTACACAAGGCATTTAAGTGTTGCAAGTGGCAAGTGGCAAATGGCAAGTGGCAATTGGCAGCTATCTGGCTAAAGCAATTTGTCAGTGACAATTGAGGCAACATTTATGACAAATTAAGTGAACATAATTAAAATTAATTAATATTTTAATAGACAAATCTTTGGCTCTCAGTTCAAAGAATTTGCTTTAGGCTTAACACATATTTAAATATATATATATATATATATATATATATATATATGTACATATATATGCGTATATATATTTATAAAAATAATATTATTTTTTGTTTTCTTTTAATCTTTTTTATCTTCATCATCTTTCAAGTCTGGCCATGGAAAAGCCGCCAGCTAAACCGTTTCGTGTTTTTTTATCTTTTTGCTTATCTAGCTATTTAGAGCACGCCCACTTTGTGCACAGCCTTCGCTGCTAATACGCCTTCTTGAGCGTTAATTAAATGTGTCCCGCGCAATTAGGGAAGGTGTGCCCCGAAGACCAGCGGCGAATGCAACAAAGCGATAAAGAAAATGAAAGTGGAAATGGAAATAAAACTGAAAATGAAATTTGAGCGAAATGCGCCACAAAATGCAATTAAAAGCTGACAAAACAAAAGCTATGCAAAAAGCGCAAATTAAATGCAACAAATTGTTGCCATTGCTGCGGTTCACATTGCTGTAGCTGTCATTGCTGTTGCTGTTGTTGCTGTTCTTGATGTTGCTGTTGGTGCTGTGGTTGTTGCTGTTAGTATTTCTGTTACTGCTGCTGTTGCTATTGCTATTACTGCTGCTATTGTTGCTGTTGCTGTCTCTGCTGTTGTTGCTGTTCTTGATGTTGCTGGGATTGTTGCTTTTGGTATTGCTGTTGCTGTTGCTGTTGCTGTCTATGCTGCATTGGCTATTGCTGTTGCTGTTGCTATTGCTGTTACTGCGGCTGTTGCTTTTGCTGTCTCTGCTATTGTTGCTGTTGGTGCTGTGATTGCTGCTGCTTTTGCCGCTGCTGTTGTTGTTGTTATTATTGTTGCTGTTGCTGCTGCTGTTGCTCTTGCTATTGTTGCCGTTGCTGGTTTCAATTAACCAGCCGCGTTGGGCGCTGAGTGGACAGACGATTGGATAAACAATTGTACAAACTGGTTCAGAAATCAGAAAAAGCGGCATTGGCCCTTTAACAAGAATTCTGTAAATATTTAACAAACGGACAAAGCCAATTGGTGTTGAAACTGTTGCTATTGCTGCTGTTGTTGTTGTTGTTGCTGTTGCTTTTGTTGTTGTCACTATGTTACTGTGCTACAACTGCTGGCAAAGCCAAAACACAAACGATATTAGCCATGGTCAGTGCACGCCGAGTCGAGTCTATATTTGCCAACACATGCAAGTGCAGCACATAAGTGAAGTACACTGAGAGAAACTTTAGAGTATTGACTTTAACTTGTAAGTGCATCAAGTGACTGTGAGAAGATAATAATATATTAACTTTAAGGAAATTTAGAGTTACACAGAGAAAAACACAGCAAACTTAAAGATTGTTTGATTGGCTGATTGATTGACTGATAAATTGACTGATGTATTGATCTTCAAGTCTTCAAACTAAGTTCTATAGAATAACAATTGCATTTCCACTGCTTAAATGGCAACACTTAGTTGGATCAATCAAGCCTTGTGCTTAACGACTGATTGACTAATGATTGATGTTTTATGAAAAATTGGGAACTATAAGAGATATAAGAGATATATGCTAGAGATGATAGTGAAAGATATTATAAACATATATTCAACATATGTCAGTCAAAATTTAAGAAATTTGATTGATTGATTGACTGATTGATGCTTTATTTTTTAGCGTAGATCAGCTTAGCTTAAGGTAACAAAACTTTATTTTGTGAGTGAATTTTAATGACCCAAGTGAAATGCACTGGGAGAAATTTGTTTTAGTTTCTACCTATTGGTTGATTGATTGATTGAAGATCAAAGGTAGAACTGAAGTCGATATAGCTAAAAAGCGCATTGTCTTATATGATTTATAAATATATTTTTTTAATAAAAAAATAATATTCCACTGCTAATGGAATTGCTTTAGAGTCAGTAGGTTTATATGTAAATATATGCGAGGGTAGCCTCTAGAATTTTCCGTTCAACAAAAGTATAAATAAAAACATGTCTAAATATCAATAATTAAAGATAAATCTCTGAAATGACTCAGCTTGTCTTATAGTCTTTTTTGCAGTGTAATTATTGAATGCGACGATGTACGTGTATAATAGAGTGCTGCTCTGATTTGATTTGTTTGTCTGTTTGTTTGTGTTTGTGTTTCTCTAGCTGGTTGACCAGAGTCGGCTACGTATATGAACCAAACCAATTTGTGGTCCATTTCGTCTGTGTCGCTGACTTATCTCGCTACGCTGCGTATTTATAACAATGTCTAATGACATCATGACAATAATAATATAAAAAAAAACAATCGTATATATAATTGAATGGGCGCAATGCCAAAACTTACCTCATTATCAATGCCGACGGCTCGGCTTCTTATCAGCGGCGCATTTCTGTTTCTGTTGCTGTCGCGCAAAGCTTGTAGTTCCTTTTGATGCTGCTGCTGCTTCAGATGATGTTCGTGCTCGATCTTGTTCCATTGCTCATTCGAGAAGAGCTGCTCCTGACTTAAGCTCTCGGCATTGGGCTTTGTTGTAGTTGTTCTTAGTTGCAGCTGCACCTTCTCCTTGCTGGGCTTGAAGAGCCAATTGAAAATGTTGCGCTTGGCAGCTGCTTTGGGATGATTGGCTGCAACATTTGGATGTTTATTGTTGTTGGGCACATTGGGTTCGGCTTGATCGTAGTCGTAGTCCTGGTCGCTGGCACTTAAGTCGGGCAGCTGTTGACTGAAGAAGGAGTAGCGTGGCATTTGCTTGGCCAACTCGGCTGCCACATTTACAGCTTGATCAGTTTGGTCATCCATCTCATCGTCTTCGTAGTCCTCATCATCATCCTCATCGTCGTCCTCATCTGCGCTGTCATCTTCGTCGCTGTCAACGAGTTGCTGCCGCCAGTTAGGGGCACGCGTTGAACGCGGCTGCATCCAGGCGGGATAAATGCCATCGCGATCGAAATAGCGCTTGGAGGAATAAATGTTACTATCATTGACTGCAACATGTTGCAAAGGTGCATCTGTCACAAGATGAGTTGCCGGAGCGATCGTGGTCGATGTTGCTGCTGCCGTTGCCGTTGCTGGTGTTGTCATCAGCGACTGTCGTCGCAGCTCGGGAAAGACGCGCTGCTGCCAGGCAGCATGATGCCGATTGTGATGACGTAAATGATGCTGCTCACCTGGACCGCCAAGCATCAGTTTATCTGACAAAGGTGGCTGCCTGTTCTGATCATTGCCCGCCAGCTCTGCACGCAAATGTTGCTCATGCCGCAAATGATGATAGCCATTGCCTAGCTGCAGCCCGTCCAATCCGTTGCCGTCCTGTGCCCACTGCAGCTGCTGCAAGCGCTGCGACTGCTGATGATTGCGACGGGCATGAACTCCATTCGGTGCACTGGTTGTGCCATTGTGGGCGTGGCGATGCGGATGCTCCTCGGCATAGCCCAGATCGGCCAGCAGGAGTAGCAGAAGCAGCATTAGCGGATAACAGCCCTTGCTGCACCCTCGCACTTGAGGCATGCTCATGGCGAATATATTTGTAGCTGACGCTCTAAAAGTATCTATAGCTGTCAAGAGTATCTTTAGCTGTCAAAAGTATCTGCAACTGATCTTCACACTTTTTCTTCTGTTATTCGTCTCTGTTAATTCTTTATTGTCTCTGTTTTGCACGCTTTGTTGATCGTCTCTATTTATTTAAAACATTTTCTTTTGTTAAATCACTTTTTTATATGCTCATGAATCACAAATACACTGCAATAAGTACAATTGCGTCTTACATTGCAATTGAAAATCACGTTTATTAATGATATTTAGTCTAATTATTTATATTTTATTTTTGAATTTCACTCGAGTTAAGCAAACAATAAAATTTTAAATATTTAAAACTTTTATATTAATTTAAATTTCTTTTTGATAAATGCCAATATTTTTAAATATTTTTTTACTCCTTATAAATGTTTTTTTTAAAGTATTTTCTTGAAATTTTTTTTATTTATTTATTTACTTTCTTTATATTATAAGTTTTTTCTTATTATTATTTTATTATTGATACTATTTGTTTATTAAATTTTAATTATTTTTATTTTGCATATATTAAAATTTTTATTAATTAATCTTATTTGTTATATTGAATTAGAATATTATTGTATGTTGAAATTATTCAACTTTTAAAATTTTTCGTTTTTTGGTTTGAATATTTTTTTAAAATATTTATTTAATATATTTTTACTATTTATTTATTAAAATTAATTCACAATTTTGAAAATTCTTTTGCTAAAAAATTTTTTAATTTATTTTATTTAACTTCTTTTCACTTTAGTTTATCTTTATGTTGTCAAACTAACAATAAAATAGCACAATTTTTCAATTCAATTATTTGTTTTATTATTATTATTTATTATTTTGTTTGCAATTATTTTTTAAATTTTTTAATATAATTTATTTATTTTTAAAACCCTTCCGCGCGATTAACAATTTTTTTAACACGCACATTCCCATAGGCATATGCCACACGTAAGTAGATACTCATATAGGTTCAAGCAATGCCTAGAGGCTTATAGTATTATTATAATGCACGCCTTTGTTTTGTTTACCTCAAACAAATAGAATTCCGAATTCACTTGGTTTTTATAGAGAGCGATGCGTATGGTGAATGCGTTTAATCCGCACATTCGACGACACGGGGCGACTTACAGATAACAACTGAATCGGAATCTGAATGGCAGCAACAAAATGTGAACTGATGCGCCGCAATGTTGAGAGCACATGTCTGCACTGAAAGAAATAGAGAGCGCAAGTGCATAAGTACAGCTTGCACGTGCAGCAGTAAGAATCGAGATGAAAATATAAAAATCATAAAATAATTTAAAAATATGTCATTATAAATTTTAATTCATTTATTTACTACATTTTCAACACTTATTGCCCGAAAATTGTTTTTTGTTGCCATGTAACAGAGCGCGCAACATGTCTAGGCTTTTACACAGGCAACATGTTGCCTGGGCTAAAGAGAGCGCGCGCAGCGCATGCTGCCCTGACAACACTTGTGCGTTGCCTTGCAGGCGCGTTGTAAAGATCGAACATGTTGCACTGCAGCTCTCAAACATGTTGGCGCAGACATTTACCGGCTTTTTAATAATATTGATCGTTTGCATTGTGTTGTTGTTGTTGTTGCTAACAATTGGCATTGGCAACACATACACAGATATACATATATGTATGTATGAATGCATATATGATGGATATTAAGGCACGGCAACTACTGCAACTAGGGTACTAGAAGTGGCAACAACGCCCACATGTTGCATGGAAGAACCGACAACAACATCTTCAACAAACGCCAACGACAATCATCAACACTTCCTTTGCCCCTCACACAGACGTCTGCCAATGGCTGCTAACACTTGATCTCAAATGTGGGCAGTGTACACTACACTACACAGAAATAAAGAATATCAAGAAGAAGAACAGCAAATTGCATAATCAAAATCTGAGGCAATGTGCGCGACTGCAATGCTTCTAAAATGTTGCCCAAGAACTTCTTAAGCACAGATAATATGTGTAGCTCTATCTATCTCGCTCTCTCTCTCTCTCTCTCTATTTATATATGAGGTTTATATTGTGTGATTTCAAAGGAAACTGAGCATCATCTATATAGTATTTAGTGCTACGACCACCGCCAACGGTAGCAGAGCACAAATTTTCCAACTAATTGCCATTAAGCTACAGGCAATGAGTCACGAGATTTTGTTCCCTGTCTCTCCCTCTTCTAAGGCGCATTGATATAGGGTATACTGTTTATGTGATCAGGTATGTGACGGGTTACTATTATAAAAAGTAGAGAGAGTGTTTGTGAGTCAATTAAACTCAGTCAGATACTTTTTGTGTATATTATTTCTAGGGCAACAAGTTCAACAGACTTTACATCCATAGCTTATAGCAAGGGTGTTTTCTAGTCAGTTAAACTCAGTTAGAACCTTTTTGTTTCTTTGTGGAACCAACAGGAAGCATGAATGCATCTTAGCAAGTCCATAAAAATCGAAGCGACTACGCTTCGCAGTCGCGCAGTCCCATTTCAAGTCTCGTTTCGTAAGTATGATCAATGATAAAAGGGTTGCCCACAATAAAAACACGAAATGAATTTTTATGACGCAACCAAAAGGGAGAGAGAAGGCTCATACCCTGCGGAAGGCAGCATAAATTGATTTTCCTGCGAAGCGTGCAAATAGGATTTGTCAAGTGATCAAATCAAATACATATTTCCAACTAAACTCAAAGGTGGGCAACATAATCAGGCTATGGCTTACTTAAAATATATTATATATATATTTATATATATACACCAAGGTATTTTCCCTAGTTATATATTGTTCTTTTGTTCTTGTCTCTTTAATGTGTTAAACGCTGTTTGTCTCGTGTAAGCTCAAAGGCAAACATCTTGGCTTACAGATAAAGGCAGCTGCGCTAGTTATAAAACACGAGAAGTTGAGGGGGAAAAGAGGTGGAAATAGATGTAAATCGGCCGACTCAGTGTAAGGGGCTGAATGTGTGTAGCTGGGCTATAAAGACATGCAAGCCATAAAACGTATATTATGTGTTGAATTTAACGCTTAATTTGAGACGTCGAGCGTTGGCTTAAATGAGACAAACAAATGGCTCAAATGGCTCAAATGGCACACAACCAAACCAAATTCGACAATTGGGTTGATGAATGTAAATAATAGAGCTATTTATACATTGTGCGGTTGCAGTTGTAATTTAATATGGAAGCTAAGCACAACAAGATTTTGAACTTTATATAGAAATATTGTAAAGTTAATATAAAGATAGAATATATAGACTACTTAACGCTAAAGAATATATATTCCCAAGAAATAAAATCTTCATTCACTTCAGCACAATGAATCGTCAACAACAATGCTGCACAGACAAAGGTTCAGTGGCTGCTCAATCGAAACTATTCACTTAAACCGGACCTAGAACCGGTTAAGAATTTTTACCCAGATACATTGCAAAAAGTAAAAAAAAAACTTTCCTTGCAACTGTTTCGAGTGAATTATGTCAGATGAAATTAAGTTAATTTCAGTTAAAGCAGCAGAGAAGAGATTGAAGAGAAAATACACAATGTCAGCATAATTGATTGATATAGATTTATATAACTGTATAGATTCAAAGAACTTTAAGTGAGTGTCGCAACAAATTGCCGTGACAAATAAAACAGATAAGAAAACTAGTTTGTCATTCATCAAAAGCTTGTCTAAATGAATTAAGCTCTGATTACTTAAGAACACTGCTCAGATGAGATTAATAAGTCATTTATTTTATATATATATATATATATATATATATATATATATATATATATATATATATATATATATATATATATATTTATATATATATATATATATATATATATATATATATATATATATATATATATATATATATATATATATATATTTTTTATTATTATTTATATAATTATATAATTTTATTTATTGTATATTATTACATATATATTTTAATTTAATTAAACATTTTACACACAACTTTTTTTGTTATTAATTTAATTCGAATAAATCAATTTGGTAATTTAATGTTTTTAATTTTTTATTTATGATATAAACAATTCAAATAAAAAGATTTTCCCAAATAATATTTTTCTTTAAGTTTTATTAACGTTATTGGTATTAAATAACCAATTTCAAATTTTATTTATTACTTTATAAATAATAAAATTTTCTTAGACACATTTTGTTTCATTTACTAATTTAATATTTATTAAAAACATATTTTCTTTTTTTAAATAATTGATTATATATTCAATTGTATAAAAACTGAATTTAAATAAATTAATATATATTTTCCTGACTCAATTTAAGAAGTTGAGCTACCCTCTAAGCTAGCTCATTAAAAGGGTATATTAATCACATTAGAGTTGAGAACTTTTTCTAATTCCTACGCTTTTACGCTTATGGTAATTTTCTGTTGAAGAACTCAAAGTTAGAAATGTAAACCCAGCAGTTGGAAGTGTCATCAAGTATTCAAATTGGCAGCCCGCTTTGCTATATGCCAACTAATTGGCAACGTTTACAACTCTTCAACTTCCACTCTCAGCGCAAATAGTGCACTCTATTGCCTGCTTCTTCCGCTATTTCACTTTTCGAGACTTTGCGGCAATTAAATAATCATAGCGCACTTTGCGCTGCACTTGGGCAAACCCAACCGACTCGTAAGCCAAAAATGCACATCAACCATATGGCAACGCTTTGGTTGAGTGGAATGGCTTGGAGTAGAGGGGCCAAGGCTAGGCACCTAATGAAATCATTGCCTCTGCTCGATTGGGCGTTAAAAATAATCAACGTGCTAATTAAGTTGACTAAAACTTTGCCAAACAGTCTACGTAGCTAACTTTGTGGCCGGGTGGCAACGCTGCCAGACAGGAAGAACTGCCAGAGAGGCGGGTATGCTCTGTGGTGTTGGAAACTCTGTAATAAAAACGAAACGTAAACTTTTCTGTAACTTTTTTATGTGTTTAAACTATTTAAAAAGTGCCACGCCCAACAAACGACAAGCCCCTAAAATAGCAAAATAAATAAATATTCACACGCTATACACACACACAAAGTTGATCAAACAACAACAAAATTTTAATTGCTTTAATGAGTCGCCTGAAATATCAGCAGCTAGGTAAATAAATATTTGAGCTGACATTTAACACACAACGATTCGTAAATAAAACAAATTAAAAGTAAATATTTCACATCTCGCCTATGAACAAGTAAATACTCTTCTGAAACTTATATTTATGTGGGCGCTATATAATATAAATA